TGGATGCTTTTTCAGCATCTGAAATTATTATATATATTTTTACTATGTTGATATGATATATTCCATATGTGGATTTGTGTATGTGGACAATATTTGAATTTCTGGGAAAAATCCAAGTTAATCATAGTGTATCATCTTTTTTATGTATGGTTGGAATTGATTTGTTAGTATTTTGTTGAAACATTTACATCTGTGTTCATCAGTGATATTAAACTGTAATTTTTCTTTGCTTTTTAGTCATATCCTTAATTGGTATGGACATGAGAGTAATGCTGGTCTTGTAGCATGTGTCTGGAAAAATTACTTCTAGGTTTTTTTTTGAATAGTTAAGAAGAATTAGTGTTAGTTCCTTTTAAAGTAAATCAGTAAGTATTTTATATACCAATAAAATACTTGCTGAAAATCAGGAAAGCAATTTCATTCAAAATAGGCACAAAGGAATAAAGTCATTGTAAACTTAACCAAGGAAGTAAATGACCTATACAATGAAAATTGTAAGACACTGATAAGAGAAATTAAAGAAAACAACAAATAAAAAGATGGAAAGAGCTCCTATATTCATGGATTGCAAGAATGAATGTTAAAATTTCCATGTTGTTTAAAGAGATTTAAAAATTCAGTGTAGTCCCTATCAAAATATTAGTTTCTGTCACACAAAAAATCCTGAGTTTCTATAGAACCACAAAATACCTGTAGTAGCCCAAGAAATATTAAACAGTAATAGCAAAGATGAAGTCATTGCAACACGTGGTCTCAAAACACACTAAAAAGCTATAGGGAACAACATTGTACCAACATAAACTGATATATAAATCTATGGAACAGAATAGAGAACCTAGAAATAATTTCATCTATTTATAGCTGATTTTCAATGCAGTTGTCCAAACCATATGTTGGGGGAAGTAACAGCCTCTTCAGTAAATGGTGCTGGGAAAAATGAATATTAACATGTAGAAGAAAGACTCTAGCTCCCCCCCCCCAGCTCTCACTAAAATACAAAGATCAACTCAATATAGATCAAAGCCATAGTAGAAAGGTGTGAAACAGTGAATATGTTAGAAGAAAACACAGGAAGAACTTCAATAAATTGGTATAGGTAATGATGTTTTGGGATACTAGTCCACAAATACAAGCAACAAAAGCAAAAAAAAAAAAAACAAATAAAAAGTGAACAGAATTTTATCAGCATATTTCTCAGCAAGGGAAAGAAGCAAAAGTGGAAAGAGGAAACCTAGAGAATGTGAGAAAATACTTGGAAACTTTCCACCCAACAAGGGATTAATGTCTAGAATGTCTATGGAACTAAAAGAAATCCACAAAGAATCTCCAAATATTCTAGTCAAAAATAGATAAATGATCTTAATAAACATCTCTCAAGAAGGCATACAAATGGCCAATAAGTATATGAAAGAAATGATCAAAATAACTAATCATCAGCAAACTGCAAAATGAAAAGCGTAATCAAATATCTCATCCTGATCACAGTGACTATTATTTTTTTTTCATCTGACAGGTAGACTTATAGACAGTGAGAGACAGAGACAGAGAGAAAGGCCCTCCTTCCATTGGTTCGCTCCCCAAATGGCCGCTAAGGCCAGCGCTGCACTGATCCGAAGCCAGGAGCCAGGTGCTTCTTTCTGGTCTCCCATGTGGGTGCAGGGGACAAGCACTTGGGCCATCCTCCACTGTGCTCCTGGGCCACAGCAGAGAGATGGACTGGAAGAGGAGCAACTGGGACTAGAACTGGCACCCATATGGGATGCCAGCGCCGCAGGCGGAGGATTAACCAAGTAAGCCATGACCCAGTGATTATTATTTTAACAAAGTAAAAATCCAAAATGCTGGTGAGGATATGGAGAAAGAGGGACTCTCATGCTTTCTTGGTGGGAGTGTAAATTAATACAGCCAGTATGGAATTTGTATGGAGGTATCTCAAAAATGATCCAGCTATCCCAGTGGTATATATACCACTGCTGGGTATATATCTGAAGAAAATAAATGAGTTTATTAAAGAGAATATGCACTCCCATATTAATTGCAATACTAGTCACAATAGCCAAGGTAGGAAAGTAAGCAAAGTGTCCATTGGTGGATTAACAGGAAAAGAAAATGTTGTGTATATGTGTATACACAATGTAGTAGCCATCAAAGTATGGATTCTTGTTATTTGCAACAAAGTAGATGAAACTATAGGATATTATAATAAGTGAAATATAGTTGGCACAGAAAGATAATTCCATATGTGCTCACTCATATATGAAAGTTTAAAAGGTTGATTGTGTAGAAGTAGTATATTTGGTAGAAGAGAATATGATAGTGGTTACTAGGAGCTAGAAAAGGTTTGAGAGCAGAGGTAGACATAGTGGTTAGATAACTGGTACAACAATACAGTTATTTAGGAGAAACAAATTCTGATGTTCTCCAGCATAATAGAAAACTCTCCTTGTTTTAAAAGATATATGGATATCTGGACCCAGGAAGTTCAAAGAATCATAACCAGACTCAATCAAAAGACATTCTTCAAGGCATGTTATAGTCAAATTATCAAAAGTTAAGGACAAGGAGACAATCCAGGAGACACAGAAAAGTCTTGAGTTACATATAGACAAAAACCCATGAAAAAAACAGCGGATTTCTTGGCAGAAATCCTACAGAACAGAAAATTATGGGATTATATATTCATGGTCTTGAAAGAAAAAAAAAACCTCCTAAACAAGAATACTATATCCAGCAAAACTATCCTTTACAAGTGAGGGAGAAATAAAGTCATTCCCAGACAAAAACTAAGTGAATTTATCACAACCAGAAGAACCTTACAAAATCCTGAAGTGCTCAACATTAGAAGTAAAAGAATAATAATAGTCATCATGAATACATACTGTAGTACGAAAATACAAAAGATAAAGAGAATTCAACCTTGGCCGGCGCCGCGGCTCAGTAGGCTAATCCTCCACCTTGAGGCGCCAGCACACCGGGTTCTAGTCCCAGTCAGGGCACCGGATTCTGTCCCAGTTGCCCCTCTTCCAGGCCAGCTCTCTACAGTGGTCTGGGAGTGCAGTGGAGGATGGCCCAAGTGCTTGGGCCCTGCACCCCATGAGAGACCAGGATAAGTACCTCGCTCCTGCCATTGGATCAGTGGGGTGCACCGGCCACAGTGCACTAGCCGCGGTGGCCATTGGAGGGTGAACCAACAGCAAAGGAAGACCTTTCTCTCTGTCTCTCTCTCTTACTGTCCACTCTGCCTGTCAAAAAAAAGAATTCAACCTTATCATAACGGAAAGCTACAAAAGCACAAAAAAGATTAAGGAAGAATGAAATGATATATAAAACAATCAGTAACCAGTCTAAACAGTGGGCCTATTTAGAATTTGAGTATATTGACTATATTTCATTTTAGCACTAGAGAGTGCCCCAAGCCCAGGTTAGAGGAGATTCTCATAATGTCTATTCTGCTGGTGAGTAACTTATGTGGATGAGTTTGTAAGGGATCCACAGAAACATCCAAGCCTTGGATGAACTATGGAGAACTATCCAAACTTTCAAGTGTGGAGAACCTGGGGACCATTTTCTCACCACATGGTTCCCATAAACAGACTATGGTGTAACTTTTGGTGTTGGAAAGATTGACTGGTAAGGGGCAAAGGAATCTTGTGAAATGATGAAAATGTTCCATTTCTTGATAATGGTGTAGATTACATAGTTCTATCTGAAGAACTTACTGAGTTGTATATTTATATCTCTTCTTTTCCCATATGTAACTTTTGGCTCAAAGTAAAAATTAGATAAATATTTAATTATTTAACTATAATTATTGTTTTTGTTGTGGTATGGGTAATGAATTATGGAAGCATAATTAGTATACTGTAGACTTGAGCAAATAAGTTAATGTATTGAGAATGAGGCTGACAATGTTTCTTCCTGTTGGAGATAGGAATTTTACATATGTAAAAAGAAAAGTTTATAAAGTACCCTGTGAAATTATGTTGTAATTTAACATAACCTATTTCTTGAGAAAATTAATATAGTGCTCAGAAAAGAGATTCACAGTAAGTACAACACATGTGTTTACTATTATCAATCTAATTTAGACTGCAGAAAGTATTGGTTTCTAATGTTATGCTGAATGTATCTAATGTCCCTTTGAAATACAAAATGCCTTTTCTTTACACATCATACAAGTATAGCTGTTAGAAATTTCTCTGGGATGCCTGCATCTCATATTGGGGTACTTGAATTTGAGTCCTGGCTTTGTTCCCATCTCCAGCTTTCTGCTGATGTGTGCTCTGAGAGGCAGTGGGTGAAGGTCTCAAGTACTCGGGTCCCTACCTCCTACGTGGAAGATCCAGATTGAGTTCCTGTTTCCTGACTTTAGCCTGGCCCATCCCCAGATGTTTTGAGCACTTGGGGAGTGAAACAACATAAAAGAGCACTATCTCTCTCTCTCTCTGTATGATCTATCTACCTTTATCTCCGTTTTTCAAATAAAGTAAATGTTATACATAAATTTAAGAAAAAATGAAACAGAACTCAGTCCTGATTAAGAGTGATTAATATTTAGCAGCTATCTGGATAAGGGTGCAGTTCTCATCTGGTGGTGCTGAAGACTTCAAACTACACCATGGCCTCACTGAACATGGAGAAGAGAAGACCTATTCACAGTTAGCTCTGAGGGATTGTCCAAGTTCTCTCCAGCACATCACTGGAAGGCTCACTGTTTCCTTCAAAACGAACACACACATTATTTGCTGATAGACATTTGAAAGTGTTAAATGTTTGTAATGTAAATATGGTGAACCTCAGTTTACAGATACTTTTATTCCTGTTTCTATTTTAAAAGTGTATTTTGGTCTAAGAAACCAAGTATTTGATTTGTGGATTATTTGCTACATAAACCACGTAAACAAGTTTAAGGCATAAAATTACACACAATGATCGTCTCATATTTTTCACTTTCTATGAAAAAACACTTTAATCATTTAAATTTCTAAAATTTATCCTAGGTGTGCAATTCCAAAGGGGCATGCCATTGTGCTCAAGGGTTCCTACCTCCAAATTGCCAACGGCGTGCCAGAGGATTACGTTTATTGCCTGAGGAAAAGGGTAATTATCTACCCCCATAGATAGCCATTGCTTGTCTTCACTAAAACACAAGTTAGATCTTACCATTAACAGAGAGTCTAATATTTGCAATGGAAAGGTATCAGACTTCTGTTAAGGAATGGAAACCAAATATATCTTCAGCTTGCTCTTTTCTAAAATGAAATACTATGATTGAAATTGAATTCTTTAAAGTTTCTCTTTACCAGTATCAATCGGTATTACCTATATTCTCTCAGAATATTTTCAATTTTCCTCCCCATCCTTATGATTAATCAAAAATGAACATTTACTCTTGGTCTAGTACTTTTACTGTGTTTCTGTTACACTAGTAGAAAAATAAAATAGATAAGACTTTATTCTGAAGTTTATCATTTAAATGAGAAGAATCTATAAATTACTACTTAAGAGTGGATACAAATTGCTCTAGGATAGTATTTTATTTACCATAGTTTTAGTTTCTTTCATTCATTCCATCATTGAGGTAGCAAATATTTATCAGTCTTAATATATGCCAGCTGCTGATGTAGGCACTGGCGATGTACAGTGAGCAAAGGAAACCCACGGATCTTAGAGAGACTGTAGTTCTGTATACCTGATACTGACAAGTAACAGATTTAGAGTTGGGGCTCAAGTCTCCTTATTTTTATTCCAGTACCCTTTGAGGAGCACTGAAGTGGCTCTGTATGTGAAAATAGAGTCCTAATGTCAAAAGCCAACAACATATTAAGGAAAAATTGTGAAATCCACAAATCCTTTGATAATCTAATCCTTTGAAAATTTGCAATAATGCAAATTTAAGTGACCTTGCAAATAGACAATACTGCATTATATATCAATGAAGTTTATTGGCCCCTTATTGTGTTATAGTGAAATTTTGCTGTAGCTGTATAATATTGCATAGTTTGGAGCTTTCTGGTACTTGGCTTCCCATTAATAATTTCAAGTATTATGATTCTAAATTTATTTTTCTATGTTCCTTGAATAACAATTAAGATCTTCATAATTTATGACAACTTGCAAGTAAAATTGTATGCTTTTTTGTTTGGTTTTAATATATTTTTATTTTTTAGGTTTAAATCAGGAAGAAGTATTTTTGAATGCTGAAAAGCATTGGCTTCTAGGTTTCTATGTTGGTTTTCCTATTCTCATTGTAGCCACTGCAATAATTGTGGCATGGAATAAATTGAAAAAGCGGCCCACCAAGGAAGAGGAATCCCGAAGTAACGAGTAAATTAAATCTGTGTTCTGGGGCTATTTTTCATAGCATTTGAATCTAGTAATGTGTGAAGCAATATCATGAAAAGCAGTAATACACTTTACTGGGATTTTGAGTAATATCAAGGTTTATTCTAATTGTGGGAGTTAGTTGTGAATATCTCCATTTTAAACCTGTAAAAGTTTGAGATTACAATTTAAATAACCCACCAAAGCCATAGCTCTGCTATTTAAGAGATAACGAACACAAATGTATCCAAATCTGTTGTTTTCAAATATTCTAAAGGTTATCAAAGTGTGATCTGTGCCATCTATAGAAGCACTAGGAGTGTAATATGCTGATTTCAGGGCCCTAGAACAGCTGAAATATGTTAGTTTACATAGTCACCTCATATAAGAAATAATTTTAAAAATTTTCTTGATAAAATTTTCAGAAGGAAGATTTATAATTTGTCTGTATTTTTTAATTTGAAGAAATTATCCAAACACAAAGAGAACATGTGTCAAAAATCCACTAACCCGCCCTCCCCCTGGAAATAAATAATTTTCCTCATTTGTTATGAAATAAACCATGGTAATTATAGCAAAATTTCCTTCTGCCTGATTTCTCACCTTCCCTGCACAGAACAATGTTCACATTGAAAGCTTATAAATGTTACATGTTTTTATATGTGGTTGTGGCATGCATCCATTTGCCATATGTAGTATTGTTTTATATATGATTTCAGATATCTATACTTTCATTGTTGATACATTTCAGTTTCTTTTTTTAAAAAGATTTATCTGAGAGACAGAGTCACAAACACAGAGAGAGGAGGAGGAAAAGAGAGAGAGAGAGAGAATCTTGGATCCACTGGTTCACTCCCCAAATGGCCACAATGGCTGGAGCTGTGCTGATCTGTATAATGTATAGTAGTATACATTATATGTATAATAGTATAATATATACTATGTATATGTATAATAGTATAATGATCTGAAGCCAGGAGCCAGCATCTTCCATCCTGATCTCCCATGTGGGTACAGGGGCCTAAGGCCTTGGGCCATCTTCCACTGCTTTCCCAGGCTATAGTAATGGAGCTGGATTGGAAGAGGAAAAACCGGGGCACAAACTGGCATCCTTATGGAATACCAGTGCCACAGGTGGAGGCTTAACCTACTATGCCACACACTGGCCCCAGTGCATTTCAACTTTTAATTCTAGTTTATTTAGCTTTTCTTTTTTTCCTGTTCATGAGCAGTCATCTCAGAGGTATTACTATTTTATTAATAACTAGATAAATATAATTTTGGTTTGCTGAGTTCTGTATATGATCACTTGTTTCTTTATAAAAATTTGCTTTTTTACCTCCTTTTCATTCTCTTTTATTTTGCTCTGTTTAATCTTTCTTGAGTTTAATACTTTCTTTCTAAATTTTGTTCTTACTAATTTCAAATAGAAAGTTTAAAGTTGCACGTTCCTTCTTATCTATCATTTTCTCTATACTGTCTTGTTTTAAAAATATAATTTATGTTCTGTTATTTATTTATATAAAGGGTACATATTTCATGTATGTCATATATACTTTTTTTTTTGCAATTAGAACAAGCAGTCTTTGATTAAGTCTTTCCATAGAAAAGCAATCTCCAAGGTATCTTATTAAAAATGTATGTAAGAGATAGTATAATGTCTATAGTAAACAACTGGAGGACTATATAAATATGTATACACATACTTGGTTTTATGCATAGAATATCTTCAGAAAGGAACACAAGAAACAAATAACATTGATATGTCCATAAGGGAACTGGGTAATCTGGTAATATGGGTAAGGAATTTTTTTTCACAACACAATCTTATGTATTTAAACTTTCGAATGTGGATATATTGCCATTAAAAACAACTAACCTAGGGGTGTTGTTGTGGTGTGACAGGTTAAGCTGCCACCTGCAACACTGGCATCCCATATGGGGACCATTTTAATGTCCCAGCTGCTCTACTTCCCATCCTGCTCCCTGATAATGTGCCTGGGAAAGCAGCAGAAGACAACCCAAGTCCCTGGGTACCTGCAGCCATGCAGGAGACATGCATGAAGTTCCTGGCTCTAGCCCAGCCCAGCCCTGGCCATTGAGGCCATTTGAGGAGTGAACCGGCAGATGGAAGATCCCTATCTTCATCTATTCCTCTCTCTCTCTCCCTCCCCTTGCAACTCTGCCTTTCAAATAAATAAAATAAATCTAAAAAAATCAAATAACTTGAAATGTTAAAATCCTGTCAATGGAATAATATGCTTAGCATATTGCCCTGGATGCTTGCACTGTCTCTATTGGCATGCACTGTATAAATGGTGTGTAAGTTTTCTAGGGCTGCTATAACAAATACCATAGATGAGGTGGCATAAACAACAGAAATTTATTTCCTCACATTCTGGAGGGTAGAATAAGTGTCAGCTGCAGGGTTGATTCTTTCTAAAGGCCTGATTCTTTGACTTAAGATGACTGTTTTTTTCCCTTTGTCTTCATATTGGATGTGGGTGTCCCAAGTGGTAGCTTAACTCACTACTCTACAACACCTATCCTACCTTTCTTTTTTATGCAAACTTTACACAAAACTAGAAACATACAATATAGTTCCTTTTTGTCCTACTGCATTCTTGTAACTTGATGTGTTCTAAAATAACAGATTTTCAGGAAAATTAATGAAAAGTCTATGTAAGTCTCCAATGAGTCATTCTGATACTGGAGACAGTAAGAGCAGTGTGCTGGGTTTTGAGTTCTTAGTTATGATGAGTAGATTTACGAGAAAAGGGCTGTTGGGTCACAGGGACCAATGGGGGGTCAAGATTTTAGAACTCATTACTCATTGGTTAGGCTTCTGTTCTTGGTCTCAGGAACATGTCAAAGTCTAAGATGCAGTTGGTACCAAGGACTTCCAAATATATCTTGTCTTCTAGCTAAGAATTATTTTTGCCTTTGTGGTGGCATATTTGTGCTATATAGAACTCTACTGTGAATAAGGACTCTCCATATTAGATTTAAGTACCTAAAAATAGCATAGGATAAGTATGGAAATAACTTACAAATTGTTTAAATAATTTTGGCACTTTTGCTAAGGTGAAGTTTCTTTTATTATATTCAGCCCTCACCCTGACTGTTGATGAACAGCTTAATATGTTATCCCTCTTAGTATTTTTTTTTGTTTGTTCTACTTAATACTTTTGGTTGAATACTGTAATCAATACACAATTCTTCTTAAGTGCTGAAACTTAACTGAAAAGTGATCGCTGTTAAATATAAGAGTGGGAATCAGAGAGGGAAGAGATGTGCAATTCGGGACATGCTCAAGCTGACTTACCTCAAACGGTAGAGTTAGAAACATACCAGGGGATTCGAATTCAATCCCATCGAGGTGGCATGTACCAATGCCATCTCACTAGTCCCAGTGATCAATTTCAGTTCACAATTGATCATAATGATAGGACTAAGAACCAAAGGGATCACATAAACAAGACTAGTGTCTGCAAATACTAGCTGACAGAATCAAAAAGGGAGAGAACGATCCAACATGGGAAGTGAGATACACAGCAGACCCATAGAATGGCAAATGTCCTAACAGCACTCTGGCCTCATAATCAGCCCTTAAGGCATGCGGATCCGGCTGAAATGCCCATGAGAGTATTTCAGGCATGGAAAGCCAAGACACTCTGGGGGGGAAAAAAAAACCTAAATGAAAGATCTCTGCGAGTGAGATCCCAGTGGAAAGAACGGGTCATCAAAGAAGGAGGTACCTTTCTCTGAAGGGAGGAGAGAACTTCCACTTTGACCATGGCCTTGTCTAAATATGATCAGAGTCGGTGAACTCAGGGGGCGTCCATAGCCTTGGCAGCTCATGACAACAGCCTAGGGTGATTACTGAGGCCATAAGAAGAGTGTCAATTTGTTAAGTCAACAACAGGAGTCACTGTGCACTTACTCCTCATGTAGGATCTTTGCCCTTAGTGTGCTGTACATTGAGATTTAATGCTATAACTAGTACTCAAACAGTATTTTTCACTTTATGTTTCTGTGTGGGAGCAAACTGT